GATTATTCGGCGATTTCGGGCCCTTTGGACCGTCTTGGGAAGCCCAACTAGCGGGCCAGAGAACACCCAAGGGACACCTGGGGCCTCCGGGGACTGGCCAGAGAGAGCCCCACGGGCCCCTGGGGCCGCCAGATTCTATTGGGGGGGGGGGTGCCGCCCATCCCCAGGGATCTCCTGATGTGAGATAATAAACATAGGGATATGTATGCCCGGAGCAGCTGGTCAGGCCACTACCGCATGAGATGCGCATGTGTAAGCGCACACATAGTTACACAGACCGTTCGCATATTCATGTACATGCCCATACACACGTAGATTTATATGCACATATGTAGTATGTATCCATAAGCGCATGTGTGTGCGCGTGTACGCACGCAAGCACTCCGCCAACGTGCGAAACTCTAGAGGACCAAGGTGCATGGCGCGCAGCGCCAATGCAGTCTTGGATAAATGTATATATTTATATACATATGCATATACATATATACATATATACATATATATGTATATATATGTATATGGGTGTATATTCGTATCAAATGCATGTCGTAAGGCAGGCGCTGTACAACACATATGGTTCAGGGAGGATTTTTTAGATACCCTGCGGCCTTTGGAATGCAGCTGCCGCTGGGGAAATGAGCAACCAAAACAGATGGTTAGATATGGGGGAATCGACGTTGTCCTATATATATGATGCAGTCTGCGTGGTGCAATATATGTTGCGACGGGTGACCAAGCAACGCAAGGAAGCGCGAGGTAAAGGATTGCAATGCAATGCAATGACGCAAAGCAATGCAAGTAACGCAGCGCAAAGCAAAACAGTACAGATCAATGCAAAGCAATACCAAGCAATGCAAATCAATGCGAACCAACACAAACGAATGCAAAACAATTCGCCGGTCCAACGGGCCACAAGATCTCTGGTAATTGGCTCACAGAGTCGATGTACAGTCAAACCGTATCATAAGGATGCGCAATGAGGATGCAAAAGGCCTTGGAAGCCCGTGTGGACGTTTTTCGAAGAGGTTGCCCAACGAAAGTCGCTAAGGATGGGCCGGAAGTGTAAGGATTCAAGGGTGCCCTTAGGAAGGTTGTCCATCCTTACTATGCAGGTTGAGTGTATACCTATACGACCACCCTGCGGGTGATAAGGAGGTGAGGGGGAAGGGGGAACCAACGTCTCACTCAATCGATCTCACTATCGATCTGACAATCGATCTCACATTCGATCTCACTATCGATATCACTATCGATCTCGCTATCGATATCACTCTCGATCTCGCAATCGATCTCACAATCGATCTCACACTCGGTCTCACATTCGGTCTCACTGTCGATCTCACTACCGATCTCACAATCGATCTCACTATCGATCTCACATTCGGTTTTACATTCGGTCTCACTATCGATCTCACAATCGATCTCATTTTCGATCTCACCGTCGATCTCACGATCGATATCACAATCGATCTCGCAATCGATCTCACATTCGGTCTCACAATCGAACTCTCATTCGGTCTAGGTTGGGGGGGAGGGGCCCAGCAATGGGCAACATCGTAATTATGTTTCCTTCCTCTTCCGGCTCGCGCCGACATCCGAAGGCACCACTCGCCGAAACAGGGCAAACGTCTGGAAAGCCAGCGAAAGTGCGCCTCATCTGGTCAGGGAAGACGGAATACGGGAATACGGACTCGATCTCACAGTCGAACACCCAATCGATCTCACAATCGACGCCATCATCATCATCATCGTCGTCATCATCATCATCGCCATCATCACCATCATCACCATCATCATCTCACAATCGATCTGACTATCGATCTCACAATCGATCTGACTATCGATCTCACAATCGATCTCACATTCGGTCTCACTATCGATGTCACAATCGACGTCATCATCATCATCGCCATCATCAATAACACCAACATCATCATCATCATCATCATCATCATCATCATCATCATCGTCATCATCACCATCATCATCATCATCATCACCATCATCATCATCATAATCATCCACATCATCATCGGGACACCGACGGGACACCGACGGGACACCAGCGGGACACCGGCGGGACACCGCGCGCCACCGGCCGCCCGAAAGAGACACATTTGGTCCGGCCGCGCCTCAGCCACAGGGACACCGACGGGACACCAGCGGGACACCGGCGGGACACCGCGCGCCACCGGCTGCCCGGAAGAGACACATTTGGTCCGGCCGCGCCTCAGCCACAGGAGACTTTCCTCTCGCCCGCCCACGCAGCTTCGCCTCGCCCGCGCGCACGGCACGCACGGACACGAAACCGAAATCGATTTCCCGGTAGGGGGGCTCTCCGTTCCACTTCGATCTCACCCCCTCACCTCCGATTCTAGTTCGCGCGCGCGAGGCGGCCCCTGGGGGGGCCTAAACGAAGAAAACCCTGGCCGACTTCCGGCAAGGTCTCGGCAAGGTCCGCTCAAGGATGCCGAAACTCCCAGGGGCGATTTTCGGGGCCCTCCAAGTCGCCCCCAGGAGTGACCCCAAACATCCCAAGGAACTTCCCTGCAGCTACACAAGGGCCAACGAATCGGAATCGCGGCCCATGAGCGCTCCAGGACGCCCAAGATGGCCCCAAGACGGCCCAAGAGGCCCCCAGAAAGCCCAAAGAGCGCTCCAAGAGGACTCCATTGATTCCCCAATCAGTGCTTGCACTGAAGGGGTCCTAGCGGAGGTTGAAAGATTTGGCGAAAATTTCCCCCCGATTTTGGTCGCACGCTGGGATCTCGGGTTCCCGGTTCCCGGTTCCTGGGTTCCCGATTCCCGGGCCGATTTCGGTGGGCGGCGAGGTTCCCAGGTTCCCGGGTTCCTGGTCGATCTTCTTATCGATCGGTCTCAGCATCGATCTCATTTCCCACCTCTCTATCGATCGCACCATCGATCTCACAATCGATTTCACAATCGATCTCGCAAGCGATCTCACCAGAGATCGCACGAGCGATCTCGCGATCAATCTCCCTATCGGTCTCATTGAATTGATTTCACTCTCGGTCTCACGATCGACTTTACAATCGTCCTCTATCGATTACACTGTCGATCTCATTATTGATCTCACAATCGATCTCAAGATCCCTATGACTAATTTTCAAATCATCTGATTGGAGTTTTCTCAGGTGTAATGTTCCGCACGTTTTTCTATGCTTTTCGCGTTCCTGCGTTTGCGGACTTCCGACGCCCCAAGATTTCCCCAGAGGCCCCCCAGGACCGCCCCGAGACGCCCCGAGAGGCCCCCAAGACGGTCCAAGACGGCCCCGAAACGGCCTCGGAGGCGCCAAAGATCAGGGCCCCAAGACAGTCCCAAGAGGGCCCCGGAACGGCCCCGGAGGCGCCCAGGATCGCCCAGGAGGGCCCCAAGACAGTCCCCAAGAGAGGGGCCCCAGAGGGGGAATACGAACCGCCAAGTCGAGTCCGCCCCCGAGAGGCCCGCACGAGGCGCCAAGGAGGCCCCCAGGAGAGCCCGGGAGGCCCCCCAGAGGCCCCACGAGGCCCCCCAAAGAGGCCCCCAAGAGGCCCCCAAAGAGGCCCCCAAACGGCTCCCAAAGAGGCCCCCAAAGAGGCCCCCAAAGAGGCCCCCAAAGAGGCCCCAAGAGGCCCAAGGAGGCCCCCAAGAGGCCCCCCAAAGAGGCCCCCAAAGAGGCCCCCGAACGGCTCCCAAAGAGGCCACGGACGCGCAGTCAAACGCCTGCGATGGCACAATACGGGCTGGCGGAATGAGCGAAGCGATGAAATCAAAAACAATGCCAAGCAATGCAAAGCGAGGCAAATGAATGCATATACATGAAAACAAATGCGAAGCAATGCAACGCAAAACAATGCGATGCAAGGCAAACCAATGCAAAGCAATGCATAGCACAGCAAAACCAATGTAAAGCAGTGCAAAGCAACGCAATGCAATGCGATAGCAAAGCAGAGCGAGCATAATGCAATGGCGCAAAACAATGCAACGTAACGCACAGGAATGGAAAGCAACACAAATCAATCCAGCACAATGCCAAGCAATGCCAAGCGATGCAAATTAATGCAAGCCAACACAAAGCAATGCAAAGCAATCAAAAGCAATGCCAAACAATCCAAAGCAATGCAACCAATGTAAACCAGTGCGAAGCAGCGCAATATGCTGCAATTGCAAAGCAGCGCGAACGCAATGCAATGGCGCGAAACATTACAAAGTAGCGCAAAACAAATCAAAGCTATACAGAGCAATGAAAAGCAATGCAAACCAACACAATGCCAAGCAATACACATCAATGCAAACCAACGCAAACCACGAAAAACAATCAAAGGCAACGCCAAGCAACGCAAAGCAATGCAACGCGACGCAAAGCAATGCATCTCAATGCAAACCAATGCGAAGCAAAGCAAGGCAATCCAGTGCAAAGCAAGGCAGCGCCATGCAGAGCAGTGCAAAGCAATGTATTTAGCAGCGCGAAGCAACGCAGCGCAGTGCGAGCGCAACGCAGCGCGAGCACAACGCACCGACGCAGAGCCGCGCAGAGCCACGCCAGGGCCAGACGGCGCCGGGGCGGCGACGGCGACCACGAGGCCGCCAGACCGACGGGCGGGCCCGGAGCGACGGGGCTGCGACGGCGACCACGTGGCCGCCAGACCGATGGGCGGGCCCGGAGCGACGGGGCGGCGACGAGGCGGCCACGTGGCCGCCAGACCGACGGGCGGGCCCAGGAGCGACGACGGGGCGGCGACGTCGACATACGTCGACCGCACGGCCGCCGGAGCGACGGGCGGGCCCGGCTCCACGGGCGAGAGGCGGGAACCACCGGCGCGAACAGCCCAACACGGGGGGGGTGGTGCTCCCGGTGGTGTGGTCCCCCCCCTCCCCGCTCCAGACAGGACCCTCTCCCCGGCTCGGGGGGGCATCGAGGCTGTCCTCAGCTGGAGGTGGCACCCGTGGTGGTGGTGGTGTCGCTCTTCCTTCCTCCCGAGCGAGGGTGGGGGGGGGCCTTGAGGACAGAATTCTGAGCCAGACGGCTGCAGGGGTGTGGAGGGATGACGATAAGCGGGGGGAGAGGGAGGCGAGGAGGAGGCACCTTCGGTTAGGCATCGCGTATGGACCGACTCCGAGGTGCTGCTCAAATTATGGAGCAAGGCTAGGCGCCAAAGGCCTGCCGGACCTTTGGGTGGAGATCCGCCGGGCCATCGACCGCGAGGACGATGGGATCGGGGTGCGGTGGTTCAACAATCACATGTCCTTGCAGCACCCTTGCCACAGGGAGTGGCCTTAACCATCCAGCGCCTCCAGACAGTGTCGTCGTCGAGGACCTTGGCACACCCACAGCCCGCTCCTCTCACAAAGCTGAGAGCGCTGGCAGCTAACAACAACACAATCAAGAATAAACGGTACTGGTAAAGTGTTGAATCGCTTAGCGCTTAGCTGGGTTGGGAACTACAGCGGGCTGCCCCATCCACCTGCTCCTGCTCCCTATCCCCCATCTCCTCCTCCTCGCCACCTCTTTTGGGGCGAAATGACGCGCTCCCCCCCCCCCCCCCTCCCCCTGAGTCCCCTTCCCTCCCTCCCCCTGAGTCCCCTCCCCCTCCCCCTCAGTCCCCTTCCCTCCCTCCCTGATCCCCAGATCTCGAACGCAGAGCTGATTCTCGATCGGCGGGGCCTGGGGCTCTCGGCCCCATCCCCCGAGACAAGGCTTCCATGGCGGGCCCCGCTCTTTTGTCACCAGGGCCCGGGGCCTAAACCAAATACACAATGACACCGGAGAAAAACCCCAATCAGATTTTTGTTGGGGCTATGGGGCTGTAGGGCTATAAAGCTATAAGGTTATGAGGCTATAGGGCAATAGGGCTATGGGCTATTGGACTATAAGGCTATAGGGCTATAGGGCTGTAGAGCTGTAGGGCTATAGGGCTATAAGGCTATAAGGCCATGGGGCTATAGGGCTATAGGGCTATTGGGCTATTGGGCTATAGGGCTATAGGGCTAGAGGGCTATAGTGCTATAAAACTATGGGGCTATAGGGCTATATGCTATTGGGCTATTGGGCGGGCACCCGGGCCCGGCCACCGAAATCGGCGACCAACCTCACCGGCCACCCGGGCACCCGGGCACCACCGGGCACCCGGGCACCCGGGCACCCGGGCCCGGCCACCGAAATCGGCGACCCACCACACCTAAACCTTTAATCCGTTAGGACCCCTACAGAGGCAAGCTCTGATTGGGGAAGATCACCTGTCCTACAAGACTCGTCAACAATAAAAAGCTGTTTTTTGTTTTCGGTGCTTGCGTGGTAGGCGCTACTTCAATGCTGGCATGAGGTATTCGGCAAAGACGCAGGGGTGTCCGAAAACAGGCAGCACCCTCACAGCATTGAACGTTTTCTGACAAGTGCCCGAACAATCGAGCGCTTCGATTTTGAACAACGTTTCAATGTATTTTTGACGAGGCTTGTAGCTTGCCAAGAACGCAGGAGGTCTGGGTTTTCCCTCCAGCGCCCTCCATTAGCGGCGCGCGCAAGGGGGTAAGTGGGAGGGGGGAATGGTTCTTAGAAGAAGACCGCTTCGTAGAAGGCGCAGGCCTTGCATCTACAGACAAAGCCCGTGCCTTCTGAGAAGCAGGGGTGCTTCGCAGTTCTCAGATCGGGATCCAGTCAAGGAGGGGAGGGACCCTGAGGGAGGGCATGAATTCGATCCGTTGGTGCACCGAACTGCCGCAAACGTATGCCCCCCGCATGCCCCGCCTATTGGCAGCTACCGGGAGCTGCTGGCGGCTGGGGGGCACCTGTTTGGGGCGGTTCGGGGCAAACACCGATCGAACTCTCACACGCCCCTCGGGCACATACGCCCTGTGCGGGATCCCGATGAGAAGCCTCCCCCCCTTTTTCCAACTACGGTCGGGCTCGATTGGACAGGACACGCGAAAGGACACGAAACCCCTCCGAGGGCCACGTGGCCACAGGAATGGAGGAAGCGTGGGCCGCGATGCACAGGACACGAGGAAGCCCTTGATCTGGCAGGGTCGACCTACGAATCTGATCCGACTGTACCCCCCTTCCCCCAAATTCAAAGTTGACGGGGGTTGACGCCCAAGAAGCCCAGAATGCCCTGGTAGCTGCAGTTTCTTCAATCGGGGATCTTCTGACCCTTCCGAGGGCCACATGGCCACAGGAATGTAGGATGCCGCGAGGCACAGGACACAAGGGAGCCCTTGATTTGGCAGTGTCGACCTACTAATCTGGGCCGACTGTACACCCCCCCTGCGCGTGGCCGAAGTTTGGGTCCCCCTCCAGCGCCCTCCATACATCTCCATCCAGTTCGCTTCTCTCCGTCGTCCGTCCAGGGTCCGCCTCCCCCTTCCTCCATGCTTCTCTCCTCCTCCAACCTCCTCCTCCTCCCCCCCCCCCGGCCTCCAGCCTCCAGTCTCCTCCTCTTCCTCCTCCTCCTCCTCCTCCTCCTCCTCCTCCTCTTCCTCCTCCTCCTCCCCCCCCCCCTCCTCATCCCCCGCTCCCCTCAATCCGTGCCTGACCGATCGCGGGGAGGGGGAGAGGCGGTAATCGGGTGTTAACGAAAGTTTACTCTGAAGTTAACCCTCCGCTGGGCGAACGTCGCGGCATTCACCCAGAGAGGGGGCCAACTCCAGATTAAACCCTGCCCGTGGACGCCGAGCGTCGCAGGGATCCACCCCGAGGAAGGTCCATTCCGAATTTAATCCTTCTCGTGGAAGCCGGGCGTCGCGAGGGTCCGCTCTGAGGAGGGCTAACTCCAGATTAAACCCTTTTCGTGGACGCCCCAGTGGCCCCCGCGTGCAACTCGCCACCTGGCAGGAAGACGATACATCTAAAATTAACCCTTTTCGTTTGGACACTCCCTAAGAGGCCGAAGCGGAGCAGGTGGAGAGCGAGGGAAAGAGAGAGAGAGAGAGATAAAGAAAGGCAAAAAAGGAGGGATAGAGAGACAGAGAGAAGCAGAGAGACGACAAGAAAGAGAGAGAGAGAGAGAGAGAGAGAGAAAAAAAACATAAACCTAAAGGAAGCGAGGCATTCAACACAACTTAAATGCAAACCTACATGTATATGTATGTATACAAGGGAGATACTTGGATAGAGAGAGAGAGAGAGAAATATAATGATAAAGAAAGACAACGAAACATGATAATGGTAGCGGCATCAACACATACATATATATATGTATATATGATAACAACAGCACAACCAACACATAAACGGAAAAGGGGAGGGAGAGATGGAGAGCGAGGGGTGCAGAGTGACCGAACCTGCCGCCTGGGAGCTCCTCGGCGGTCCCAGGACTTCATGGCCTTGAGCGCCGCGGCCTTGTTAACCGATCCGCGGCCGTGTCGGGTGTTGCTGGGGATCGTGTTGGGGTTGTTTGCGGGTCAGAGGGTGGTTCTCTCGGGTTCGTCAAAAGGGCCATCAGGTCGATTCGGGAACACCTCGGGAACGCCCTGAAATCATATGCAGAGGTCGCGTCGGTGTCATTTTGAGATCGCTGGAGGGCCGCGTTGGGGTTATAGTGGGGTCGCCTTAGGGTCCTCATATCGCTCTTGGATCGTCATGGGGTTGATGCCGTTGTCCCGGGGTAGCCTTAGGGCCAGCCACAAGGTGATGGGGCCCTCTCGCAGTTGACGATCGCATTAGGGCCGTCTCGGGGTCACCCTGTGATCGTCACGGGTGCGAAGGGCCGTCTTAGTGTTGTCTTAGTGGTCATCAGGGGGTTGTGGGACCACCGCAGTGTCATAACGCCCTTCCGAACAATCAGCATTGTCATCGTCATCGGCATCAATACCATCATCATCAGCATCATCATCATCATCACCAGCATCATATGTCCTCTCCGCCTCCTCCATTGGACATCGTTCTCTTGGCGTCTTCGGGCCTCCTTGGCAGGAGGAACCCATCGACTAGTTCAGTGACGAAGGAGAGAGGACATGAATCCGTTTGAATCAGTCGGGAGCATGTTGGGAATCTCTTGCGGACATCAAGAACACCTGCTCGGAGGCTCTCAAGGCCTCTTAGCGGCCTTGCCAACCGACTTAGCAGGCTGATGGACCGCTGCGAACCCATATCGATCAAACTCATAATCGTTTGGGCCAATGTTGACCTCTCGGTGGCAACTGCGTAAAAGTGTTTGCTCCAGAATTAACCCTCCGACCGGCAATACCGTTTAAAGTATTTACTCCAAAGTTAACCCTCCGACAGGAGATCCAGTAAAAAATGGTAATTCTGGAGTTAACCCCTCTTGAAGGGGAGCGCAAACTGCATTTGTGTTGTTGTTGTTGTTGCTGCTGCTGCTGCTGTTGTTGTTGTTGTTGTTGTTGTTGTTGTTGTTGTTGTTGTTGTTGTTGTTGTTGTTGTTGTTGTTGTTGTTGTTGTAGAGAGCGCCTGCAGACTCCGGAAAAGGAACCGACGAAACAAGAAAGCCCGCAGCGTGTGAGAAGCATTCGCCCTAGATCAGAGCTAGAGTGACGAGCGACCTGAGCCAGAAAGCCTGCAGGGCAAGAGAAACACGCGCACTGAACCAGCAAGCCTGCAGAACGAAAAAACACCTCGAAAACCAGACAGGCCAGCAGAGCTGGAAAAATAAGCCTCCAGAGCCAGAAACATTGACTGTGGAACTGGATTGGAAAACGAGTCGATTGCAGAGATGCCGGCGCAACTTCAGAAAGTAACTCCCGATAACAAAACAACCGAAAGGCAAATGAAAGGAGCGACTGCGCCTCCGTAAATGGCCAGCCCCATGGCGAGAATGTTTCGAGAACGGGGCCCAGGAAGTGAAAAGAGCATGCGCCGCGGAGATAGAGAACAGGCGACACGGTCGCCAGAGGGGCGCTTCAGATGTAGAGAGGTTTAATCTGGAGTAAACCCTTTCCAATTGTGAGGCACTGCAGGCACAAGTTCAACAAGGTTGAATCCAGATTAGACCTTTTCTAACTCGTGATTGCATACTTTTTCCTCTTTTCCCCTCCTCCTCCTCCTCCTTCTCCTCCTCCCCTCCTTCCTCCTCCT